AACGCGGCGGGCCTCAAGAGCAGACAAACATGGGGGCATAATTGGAGCGACTATATATATGGCCCGTATCCTCGTGTTGTATATTTGCTAGAAAAAAAGGCTCCCAGTAGAAATACTTGCAATAAAATAGGTTCCCCTAGGTTGCCCTGGAAATAACTGTTATATATGAGCTCCCCATTGCTGCAACGCTCCACACCATCACGGCGTGCAGAGTTTAATTAATGCCTAATGCTTTGTTCATCGTAGAATAATAAGGGAATATTTGCGCAATATTTAAAAACAACCGCAATTCAAATCAGTTGCAGACGTAACGCTAGTCAATTACTTCCGGTAGAATAATCATTTAGTGCTCATTGCTCAAGTTTAAATGAAGTGAATGAAAGCCGCTTTTTTCTTTTCGTGATTGGCGAAAGTTCAACCCAAGAAAAAGTAAACGAACAATTTATTGAAAGGACAGTACTTGGTGAGTTAGATATGGTAATCGGTTAGTGAGAGGTCTCAGGGTATAGTGGGTGAGATGGTAGTTGGTTGGTGAGAGTTCTCAGGGTATAGTGGGTGAGATGGTAGTTGGTTGGTGAGAGGTCTCAGGGTATAGTGGGTGAGATGGTAGTTGGTTGGTGAGAGGTCTCAGGGTATAGTGGGTGAGATGGTAGTTGGTTGGTGAGAGGTCTCAGGGTATAGTGGGTGAGATGGTAGTTGGTTGGTGAGAGTTCTCAGGGTATAGTGGGTGAGGTGGTAGTCGGTCATAAACTACGATTTAAATACGTACATTGAGTAAATTTTGCTCCGAATCTATGCAAAAAAACTAGAAGCAAATTAAATTTGTTTCAAATTCGTGATAACCATTAACATTATGGAAGCTGTTACGAAATGCTGCGGTAACAATTGAGCATGCCTTGCTGACTGCTATGCTCAAATAAGTTTTAACGTTACTTTGAAAATATGCGTGATTCAAAAGTTAATAATGAGATCGCTAATTCAAAAATTACTTTATGCATATTATCGTACCGGCCTATGAAAAAGTATGCAACGTTCTGAGATACTATTGAAATGATTTTGTATCAATATTAAAAAACTACCTCAACAAGCGTTGTCACAAAACCAATCATACGAACTACCACAAATAATTCAATTATACAATACATGTGTTGTTAAAGTTTTTAGCTCCCTCTCAAGTCCGAACTTGCCTACATGATCCTATAGGCTTCGATTTATTCATGAATAATAATTAAAACACTTTGCACCACAGTTTCAAATAAGCAATTAAATCAACGTGCGGTAATTTTAAAAGTTAATGACTCTTATAGCATCAACACTTTTGTGCGTGGCTTTCATTTCTCATGTGTTCTCGCGGTTTCGAGATTGAGTCTTGATATTTGAGCTCAGAACTTGGGATTGAAGCTTTCCTAAAACTATCAAACGAAAAACTTAAATAATTAATATTAAACTACCGTTAAACGTATTAATTAATATATAACTTGAATGTCTTCCCAATTTATTCATGATCAAAACTATTGACCAGATCAAATATCATTCATGATCAAATAATATTCGCATATTCAAATCCTAAAGTAGCAATAACCTCCGCTCCAGCATTCCACGGAACAATAATCTAACCTATGGACTCATCCTTCCGTACTTTGCCTTCATGCAGTAAACTGAAAACTAAAATGAAAATTAATGAAGAATTTGTAAAATAAATATTATCGCATATACTGATTATTATATAACAATATACAAACATATTTGAATAACAATGATTTTTATTCCTCATAAAGTCAGCCCTATAAAGCACTCCATCTGCCTGCAGCAGCCCTATAANCTCTCAAGTCCGAACTTGCCTACATGATCCTATAGGCTTCGGTTTATTCATGAATAATAATTAAAACACTTTGCACCACAGTTTCAAATAAACAATTAAATCAACGCGCTGTAATTTTAAACACGGAATAATCCGTGTTTAAAATTAAGTTAGATTATTGTTCCGTGTTTAATTCCACGGAACAATAATCTAACTTATGGACTCATCCTTCCGTAGTTTGCCTTCATGCAGTAAACTGGAAACTAATATGACAATTAATGAAGAATTTGTAAAACAAATATTATCGCCTACTGATTATTATATAACATTATACAAACATATTTGAATAACAATGATTTTTATTCCTCATAAAGTCAGCCCTACAAAGCGCTCCATCTGCCTGCAGCAGCCCTATAAAGCACTCCATCTGCCTGCAGCAGTTCGAGCGCAAAGATCGCGCACTCCAAGCGCGTCTCAAGTGCGCGTGTGCGCATCAAATTAAAAAGAGAGCGCGAGTGCTGGAGTCAAAATGCCGTCAAATTAACGAAGTGAAGACGTCACGCGTAGTAAATAAAAATAAACCTAAAAATGTATGTAAGATATCACCGGTGGCTCCGTGCAAGATTTGGTATGTGAATCTGCTTCTCAAATGAAGGTGAAAGCAGAAAAACTAAACAGATAAGTGAGGGTTAAATGAGAAGATTTAACGCGTATATTGAGTCCGAATTAAGGCCCGCTTCTGAGCACGCGATGTCCACAATGCGTTTTCCTTATCACATATTTTTCCATAAGCTTTTCTGTATATAAAAGCCCCCTGGACTATTTGTTGACTCTAAATGCCAAGCTACTCAAATCTAGTCTTTGCACCAACCTATTTCCACAGAAATTCGAGATTGTGAAAATATCGCGATAATTTGAAGATGCAATTCTCATTTGTTGTTGTTTATATTACAAGTTTTTCCTATTTTATCAATTTTTTTATGAGTTTTTAATGTTAATAAGATTCCTTGTTTACAATCTTCTCCAAGTTGTGTGATGCAGCCTTATTTTACCGATAAAATACTCTCTCCGGCCCAGGTAATGTCATTTTAAAGTACATAGGTTCAAAGTTCGTATATAGGCTCAAAAATTACGTGGTGTTTTCAAACTCATGAACACCAGAGATACAAACAAAAATGTTTAAACTAGAGTAAGTGAATTATTGAAAATAAAAACAATTTATACAAGATATTAACAACTAAATTGACGGCAAATTTAATACCACCAGAAAACCGCAACTTTTATTTAGTCAGGTGAAGGTCGTAAATTACAGATGACGCGGCAATGAAAAACAATTTAGAAAAAAAAATTAAAAAATAAATTGACGGCAAGTTTAAAACCACAAGTAAACCGCAACTTTTATTTCGGCAGGTGAACGTAGTAAATTACAGTTTGCCGCTGTAATGGCAATAAAGATATAATTATACTCTCTGGTCACACACGTCGCTTCACTTCAATTGTTTGCGTCACGACAACACAACAGCTCCGTCATTTGACTGGCTGCGCCAGGCGATCTTTTCGGTATGCAAAGCTCGGCCTCGTCCCTCGGCCGGACGGCGCAGCCAGAGGGACAGACAGGATATGAGGGATGAGCGTATCCGTCCGTACACACCAACTCTGTGGGGCCCTGGTACTCGTAATGGCAGCTACGAAGTCAGGGCCCCCCGACTCTTATATCAGCTACCGTTTGAAGGGCCCGCCATATGTCAGCTCCTACCATGCCTTGACGGGTTACTTGTCGGAGACCACCACTGCCCTGCTCGAATGGACTATCCCTCAAGAACGTAGCATTCTCGTAGCATCTTACTTCCAGACCGTAACATTCTCAGCCGCAAGTCACCAGGCAGATGGCTTTGCGTAGTCTGCCAATGCGCGAAAAATTCTGCACCACCTGGACGGGGCGCGCCGGAGCCTTTGAGTGAATATGATGCCCGCCACCAACTCCTCCGTATCTGTCCCGTGTGTCGAATCAGCCCACGGTCGAATATCCACTCTTCGAAGGACGAGAGTTTTTGGAACAGAACTATGTTATATGAAACCTAACCTCAGATACTGCGAACTAAAAGTTACGTAATTTAATCGATGTCCTGCAAGTCATGTTCAATACGCGGCCTAGTGGTGCACGGCAGGTTTCATGCAGCTCTCCTGACGAGCTATAGGCTGATTGGTTGCAGTGAGCTATTCGCTGGTTACAGTTCGAGCAATAGTCATGTTATGAAGTGACGTTCAATGTAATGTTCAATGGTGGCCAATCATTACACTCTAGTCCATTCGCTCCCGTGTATGGTGGTGCAAGCCAATAATATTTAAAACAAGATGATGTCATGGGCTGCATTCCAGATAGTACAAGATACTACAAAATGTTTTCGTACGAAACGAAGTCGTGTGAGTGTTTTCATTGAGATATGAAGTGATCTCGGAGGCCTCCACTTGAGAGTCTCTTAAACATTTTATTTCTCCAACAACTTCGAATTTGGCCAGAATTGTGTTTCACTGAGGCAATCTTTTCATAATCTTTCGATTGCCACAGACAATCGCTATACTGATGAGTCAGTAATGATGAGTATCGCCAAGCTTTGGGGACGTTTCTCCGATCTTAAATTACAGCTCGGAGAAACCAAGCACCCAGATTACCTCTTCGAGAGACCGAGATGTCAACGTTTTTTACGCGGGTACAATTTTTATTCATTTAATATCTCTCAAAAAATAGGCATTTTAGATAAAAATATTAAATTACAGAATAATTTACACTGTTTATAACATGTTAAAAGACAAGGAAGACTGAATAATTAAGTTATATCTATTCAAACCTGCCAGTTTTATCCGCATACAAATATTGGCAGGTTTGGATCTCTTTGTCTGTATATTATCCCTAAGTATACTTAGCACACGAGCAATTGGAAATCATATATGAGAAAATAAAATGCTTATACACAAAACAACTTTTATATGTTACATTTTTCCTCCTGACTGAACGTTTTCATTCACATGCAGGGATAGCGAAAAGCACAAAGATACCATAAAGTATTCGTAATTTACAAGCAAAGATCAGCTCTCATATTACAGCATTGTAATACATAACATAATTTTTAATGGTTATATCAAGTCTCGACGCCTCCACCACATGCACTTAACTCATACCCAAACCCTGAAGACTTACATGCAAATGGCGATGCTCCGGACACAGCAGGGTTATACCAGGACGTAGGGCCGTAAGTGGCGTGCGCTGCGACGTTACGACTGTCGTACGACATGTCGTGTGACGTGGCGTATGCGGCATGTGGCACAGGCGGGTAGCGGGCGCCTCCATACCCGCCTGGAGGACAGTCCAGCAGCTCCAGGGTGGAGAAGCAGCGAGGGGAGTTGAAGGAAGAAATTTGTGTGTCCAAAGGACCTGGAGCAAAGGGCGTGAGAAGATCCGTGACAGAGAAGGGTGTTGTCATCACACGGATGACGTGGCTACTGCAGGGCTCGCCGTATATAACGGGCTATACGGGGTCGGGCTATACGAGATCCGTGACTGAGAAAGGTGTTGTCATCACACGGATGACGTGGCAACTGCAGGGTTCGCCGTATATAACGGGCTATACGGGGTCGGGCTATACGAGATCCGAGACCGAGAAAGGTGTTGTCATCACACGGATGACGTGGCAACTGCAGGGCTCGCCGTATATAACGGGCTATACGGGGTCATTTATTGTGGATCCCTTGCTCAAATGTAATTAAAAACGGGAGTATCGAAGGCTAGAAATTTGTTCTGGTACAGTTGTGATGATTTGAGGTCTGTTTGCTGGTCGCAGTTTGAATTCAGGAGATAAATATTCATGTGCTATTAAGTCTATATAGGCTCACAATTGAGGAGCTGGGTAAGAAGCTGGATAATTTTAACACAGTTCGTTGTTCTTGTAAATTATTTTCCTTCACTTTTCATTTATTGCGCCAACACGGAGTTAGTAATCCCGAGGAAACTGATACCAGTTTAAATACTCTTCTAAATTTCTATCATATTTTGTGATAACAAAGCATGAGATATCTTTAACAGCAAGGTTGCTTGTTATTTTATTATTGATAATGTTCATGATTATAACTATTATTGCAACTAAACTTTTTCAGGTCTATAACTGAATGAATTGAAGCAAACCATGATTCGGATCAGTTGGTTTTCCCACCAGCACACAAACTATAGGAGCGAATAACAGTAATAAGTCCACAACACGACAGAATTTTAATTACAAATTTTTCTGTCTTTTCAGTTATACCAAAAATTTCCAAAACTTAATTAAATCTGCTTTAGTTTTTGAATAAATGCAATTGTGTAAAATTTCTTGTTTATCAGTTCGAAGCTGTCAGTAGAGAACTGCAGTTAGCTTGCAGATATTTAGGAACTCACTCTCATGATCTGATGATGTTCAAATATTCATCTAATTATTATTATTGCAACCCTTCTCTTTAACTTAACTTCTTGTTGTTTATTTGTTTGTCTGCTACAAATCTTATAATCGATATTTAACACACTTCTACCTGTCCAATCGATCTGAAATTTTGCACACTGGCGTAAAGTCGGAGACAATGATAGAATAAATTGACAAAATAGATAATTTTAAAAAGTAAAAAATTTTAAAATATTGAAAAATTTACATTTTTTAATATGTAAAAATAAAATTAGAAATTCATTGTACATGTGTGACATCGGAGACACTGCACCTCTTTAGAAGTGTGGTTTTTAAAAAGTAATTTATAAACGCATATTATTAGTGTGTGCCCACTATATATTAGTTTGTGCCCACTCTATAAGCACTGTGGTGATGAGATCTTGTGATATAAAATATGATTGATTGAAATTTTTGCTGTTCAGCATTAACTTTATTACATCTGTACGCCGGATGAGAGTTTCCAAAATTAGACTCAAAATTAAGGCTAACACTGAAAACAACAGTAGCTATAATTACTCTAGTCGATTTTTTGCACAAATATAGACCATATGAATTTTTACTATACTAAAACTATAGAAATTGATTGTTAAATATCTTTGAATTATTCAATAGGTTTACAAGGCGATATTTCCCTTGAATGATATTCAAGGGAAATATATATATATCGTCCTTGAATATTTTAATAAATATTTGTTTGAATATTTTGAGCAGATAATTTGAATATTTTTTAATTGATAATTTAATAATTTGAATATTTTGAGCTTTTATTGAATATTTTAATATATATTCAATATAATATTAATAATTCAAGGGTAATATATACATTTCACCTCGCAGATATTCCAACAAGTGCGGGGATGCATGAGGGAAATTTGCATTAAATATCTCATCCAAGAAAATTTTGTATATCTTTTGTGACGTCACTGCAATAAATCATTAAAGCTTCTAAATTGCGACTTTTAATTAAGAGAAATTTGTGAGGCAAGTGAAACTGATAAATTTTAGTTTCCATTCATTTCTGAATATGAATATCATAAACTCTGAATTTGAATTTTTTGTATTAGCATGCTTCTTAATTGGGATTATTGATTATGTGTAATCAGCGTTAAATGAGACTGAACATTATTCAACAAATCTTTCGAGAGAGTCTCCATTTCTATTCAATTTAACCCACCCTGCGATCTTTGTAACATGAAATACAAATTAAAGTTGAAATTGAGCATCGGATTTAACCAAAATTATCTGTTAACTTGCAAACAAACAATAAATTTCACCGAAAATGCTGCGTCAATGTGAATCTTTAATGAACTGAAATGAAGCAATATTTTAAGATGACAAAATGTCTGTAATGAGAGCTAGACTGCATAAAACTACTTGACTCGATCCAAATGAAACAACGTCAAGCATTGTTGAATGTTAGTTGGTGACTTGTGAATAATTTGTGCGTGGTTTAAGAAACTGAGCATTTTATAACATTGATTGTTTCTATCCTACTTATATTCATCTATTTCGTCGGGTTATTACAACATTTTTTCGCTACAATTTTGCCCGGAGATAAAAATTTTGCATGAATATTAAGAAGCTTGCACATTTTTCGTCGAAATTTCTTATAAAATTCAGACGCTGCTCAAAATATTAACTTTGAATGTCGCTCAATTTCAGCACAAAGTTTGATGCAAATCAAAACTTTATATGCAGGTATGTTTAAGCCAAATCATGTCCACATGATGACTCAGTACACTGTTAGAAAAATTACCGTTAACGGTATTACCGGCGTTTCAGTGGCCGGTCGGCACGTGAAAAGAAACAACATGTAACGTTTTTATTCTAATTTAACACTAGAAATCCGTGAAATATCTGATAAAATCGGCAAAATAGTTCATTTTCACGGGGCGACCGGCCACTAGAACGCCAGCGAGACCGTTTTTTCGCCGTTTTTTCTAACAGTGTAATTAACAAAACACGGAACAAATGGTAAAATTGTGCAAGAACTTTTGATAAGTGAAATGAATATTTTTGTCTTAGAAAGGTGAGAGGTCATGTAGTATTCAAGTTGAGTAAATTTTTGACGGCATGAGTAGAGCGTTTTAAATATGATTTAAATGTATTCAGTTGATTAAAAAGATTTATTTCATTAATGTGTATGATTTAATGGTTACTTATTATTATTTTCGACACCATTATTGCGATCAGCAAATTCACACTATTTCTTAAAAATTTGCATAACTTTGTTTTAACTAATTTTCTATTGCTTTAAGATTGCTTATTTTTGATAACATGTTTGTGGTCTGTAAATTTTTGTCAACTATTCTGCAGAAATAACTGAATAGCCTGGAAGTTTTTGGCAGGTTTGAAATAACTGAAAAACTTCTGAAACTGCATCGTTGGACGGTGTGTGGAAGAGAGATAACATTATGAGATAGAAATTTCATCAAACCATATGTAAACGAAATGCAGTCACGAATTAAGTTGTTCTAGAACTTCACAATCTCGCTTGAGCTTCAGCACAGATACTTCTTGAATGCGTTCTATAAAAATTGATTGAAATTATATAATATTCATCATACGAATAATTACATCGAATTTAATCGTATGATAATTTCAGGCTTCAACTCATGCGCGAATATATTGAGTTAGGTCCTGATTCTTGATTGGAGAAATTGAAAATTGAAAAAACGTTCAATAATCTCGATTGCCATTTCAATTTTAGATTTCAGGTTATATATTTTCAACTCCTGATACAATAATTATTTGTCTGAGGTCAAAATTTCGTAGGAAATTTCTACTGATTTTAAATTTGAGAAAACTTTCGGTGAACTATACATGTTATATGATTATTACGTTTATTGATTAACGATATCAGAAGCCGTTTCCGTTCTCAATGGTCAGAACGTTTAGAAGCCGTATAAAAAGAAAAACGTTCAGAAGCCGTATTTTAACTCAATGCATAGTAAGCCTAGATTTTTATATTTAATTGAGATACATCAACAAATATTTGAGGATTCTCAGGCATGGAATTTTATTACCGCTACATATTATGAACACATAAATTCAAACTGTATGACTAGTCCCAGGTTGTTAATGTCGAATTTCAGGACGGTTTGAAAATTAATTTAAAAATTCATGACGACTTCAAGCGCTTTTATTTTTATTGGATGACTGAATTTATTTGAGAGAATGCTCATCAAATGTTCAACAAGAATAATAAATAATCAATATTCAATAATTCAATAATAGTTTTCAATATCAATAATTCTAATAATAGTTTTTAATCCCACAATTGCTCGTTCAAGGAACCACTCAATTCCATTTCTGTTCAACCTGAGATATTATTATAAAATTCCTAGCAACTTTCGATTTTACAACAAACTTGTGATGAAACGTATTTAATTTTACGGATATAATTGGGAGAAATTGAATCAGAAGAGTGATTAGAATTCCAAACTTGATTGTTAATAAAATAAATGATAGACTCTTACTGCATCGCAGAAATGTCAATATCAGCGTATTTAAATAAATTACGCTCTCCATATTTATTTAAGAAAATCTTTGTGAAAAAAATTGTTTTTGCCGCATATACGAAAGTTTTAATCTCTACAAACGATAATAATTATACCACACCACACATGATAATTATACCACACCACACATGATAATTATACCACACCACACATGACAATTATACAACACCACACATGATAATTATACCACACCACACATGATAATTATACCACACCACACATGATAATTATACCACACCACACGATTAAGTAATGTTTCGATGGCTATTATTTTTTTACTCCAAATTAATGTCAAATTATCACCGCAACGTTCAAGAATTTCGTCTTTATATAATGAAGTTCACCCCAATTGGCTAAATGTTCCGTTCCATAATGATTATTAGATTAATCCAATTAATTACGCCGAACATTAATTAATTGTACAGGAACACAATTAAATGTTCAACAGGGTTTATTCCTTCGAGGTCCAACAATTTAGCCATGATCTCTAAACAACACATGCATATTGAGGAACGTATATACGTGTATACCTCCAGTAGATATTATTATATTTTATAAAGAATTGACGCTGCCATTTACATCGCATCTCCAGTTATTATACTTCGTTATACAAAATAAAGGTTTAAATGAATTGAAGGTTAATTCATGTTGATGAAATAATCAAAAATTTTTTAATCGAATCATTTATAATGTTAAGAAGATAAAAAATCATTTCGCCAGGCAGTTCATCAATTGAATTTCTTCGTTAAATTAGATTAGTTAAACAAAATTAAAGGGGCGCGTCATGGAAGTTTTTAAAAATCACATCAAAATAAAGATCTTATGATCATCAATTTGCTCTTATAACATCGCGATATTCGAACCAAACGCTCCAGTCGTTAGCAATCGCAATAATGGTTCTGCAATTAAATTTCAGAGATTTTTTAATTTTAACAATTCCATCAGATAAAATTCCTGCCTCAATACATTTTCTCTATTATGCAAAAAAATATAAATTTTTATTTGCTTTAAGATAAATTAAATATGTTTTCAGCGATTTACTTCCGACAGAGGAATATATTTCGGTTCAAGTTCAAACTGAGAAAACATTTTGCCCAAAACTTATTAGCAAAGGAAACGCTAAACAATTCACTATATCTTCATTACAAATTTTTCGGAGACCAGCTCCTTCATCAGTTGAAAAATTTTAGAGAATACAAGTACAATCAACAGAAAAAATTTATTAAAGAGATTAAGAATTTTGTAACGAAACCCCAATACAACGGAAGATAAAAAAAACTACTCGCATTT